GGCAAAGCACTTACTGGAGTCACTGGTGTTGTCAAAACTTGACTATTGTGACACTGCCTATTACCCTTTGCCGGAATTTCAACTAAAACGTTTCCAACGAGTCCAGATAGTAGCTGTTAGTTTTGTCCTGAATAGGTATGTAAATGACATTAACGATATTGTTAAGATAGGGTGGTTACCAGTAAGACAGCGAAGAGATTTCCACGTTCTCAAACTCGTTCACCAGGCTTTGTACTCCCCCAGCTGGCCGTCTTACGTACCGCTAGATACAGCCGTTAAACATTTGTGATCTTTGCAGTCAGGAGCAGCAACAAGATTAACTATACCAATGGAGAGGGGCACTTTTCAAGACTCTGCTGCCAAGCTATTTAATATCCTTCCGGCAAATATTAGAAACTGTAGCGATTTCAAAGTATACTGTAGGGAAGTTAATGCCTATCTATTAAATAACATTTGTAAATAGTTTGTAAATTGCATATAGGGTTGTATTACTTTTACTAATTCTTACAACGTTTTTAATTTTTGATACAATATTCTTTTTATAGTCCGATATTTTTGCTTTTTATATTGTAGATTTCAATTCAATTCTTTATTGTAGTATATTATAGTTTTTCATTTTTTACTCAGTATTGTAGTTTTTAACAGGTGAAGAGCCACTAAGTGGATACACTGTTAATAAACCATTATTATCATTATTATTATTTTTTTTTATTGGTGAAAAAATTTTATTGACAACAATGCTAACTATTAAATCCTATTTACAATTAGTTCGCTTGAAAAAAAGAAAAAACTATTCATTCCAAACACTATTTACAATTCCTGTCGATTTAAAAAGCACTTAATTTAGCTTAGAAAGAGTTAATTTAACAACGAAAAATTTATTCGAATTAAAAACATTTCATTTCAATAAAAAAAAAACTGTCAGCCTCTAAAATTCAAAAGTTTCTTTCAACCGTTTAAAATAAATAAATAAATAAATAAATAAAATTATTATTATTATTTTTATTATTATTATTATTATTATTACTATTATCTCTTTTATCAGTCTTTGCTGGTGTTCTTTTTGTGCATCAGCCGGGCGCAAACCATGCACCTAGAGTGTCAGTCACTCAAGTCATTCATTCTGTTCATACACTGAGTACCTTATTATTATTATTATTATTATTATTATTATTATTATTATTATTATTAAATATAAGATATGATCGGCGTATGAGTTTGGCTCAGAATGGCCCCAGGTTTCCCAGCTCACTTTTCTTTACGTTGTCCCCTCTTGTCCCTCTCTTTGACTCAGTGCTCGCCATTCATTCCACGAACCTTGTGCCGTGTTACTTAATTTATCTTCAGTGCTGTCATGTTCAAACTAAGCACAGACCGTAAACTTGATTCCAAAATCGGGACAATATAGTATAAAACCTCATGTAATAACCTGGTTTTTAAGAACCTCTTAGGCTAAAATTTGCCAGTTAGGCCCCCTATATACAAGAGCCTGCACCTGGTTACCTGGTTAGCCTAAAATTGTAAACAAGCCTTTATTTTCTAAAATCTGTAGAAAAGATTCTGTAAGACTTGGGCAAATAAGATACGTCAACATTCAGGATCCTCTTTGGAGACACAGGTGGCTTATCACTCTAACTGCAATGTAATGGAACGCAGATTCTATGAAAGGCTACGTGCAAACAGACGCAACAACTCCCAATATTGTTGGGCCAACCGTGTTGGGAGTTGTTGCGTCCGTGTTGGCAGTGGTGTGCAAACGGTGCAACAACTCCTAACAATGTTGGGACCTACAGTGCATCCTGGGAAGGATACAACCAAAAATACTTTGGAGACCATTTGTAATGTACGTGCATAGCCCCAACAAATGCAAACAGATACAGCATTGTTGCGCTACGCTTCGGCGCGTCACGGAACAAAAGAAATGTCTTGAGTTGTTGGCTCAAACTTTGGGCAACAACTCCCAGCAATTCTCAACAACATGCAACAGGGTGTGCAAATATTCATTCATTCATTCATTCATTTATTATACACGAGAAATCATCAGTGAGTTTAAAAAGTAAATACTAAATAAAAGTAAACTACTAAAATCTAACTGATTTACATGATTGCTCTGTGGGAGCCTGAAGAAGAATAGTAACTTCTAAGCTTCTTTTTAAAAACCCCCAAGGAGTTACATTCCCTTAGATTCTGAGATAGAGAATTTCAGAAGGCGGCACCGCTATAGGAAAAGCTACGCTTCAGGTACTCTATCCTAGCCTTACGCAATGCATGTTTGTTAATTGAGTTTCTTAGATCATAATTAGCACTAAATTCACAAAACATTTGGCGGAGGTACACTGGAGCAAGGTTACGTAAAGACTTAAAAACCAAGATGGCTTTGTGCTTTTCTCTGTTGGAGATCAAGTTTTTCCATCCAAGTCCGTCTAGATATGGAGAAGAACTAACTTCAAAACTCGATTTTGTTATGATCCGGGCGGCACGAGCGGATGCAACATATAACATCCAACAATGTTGGGAGTTGTTGGCCAACAATGTCGCGCCCTTTTGCAAGGGGCTTTAAGCACAACAATTTTGGATCCGCTTGCACAACTCTTCCAACATTGTCAGGGTCACGAACGCAAGAAGGCTGTTGAATTCAAATTTACAAAGTGTTACATATCCTTCCCACGATGCACTGCAGGTCCCAACATTGTTGTGAGTTCATAAATAGGTTCAGTATGATCGTCTGGGTTACTGTAGTCCGTTTGTACACCACTGCCAACACGGGCACAACAACTTCCAACAGTGTTGGCGCAATAATGTTGGGAGTTGTTGCGTCCTTTTGCGCGTAGCTTAGGGAACAAGCTGAATGCCACCAAATGCTTCTTAGCTACGATGCAATGTTCTTATCTTCCGAAAAAAAGCCTGAGTATTTTCTCTTCAGAAAATAATAACCCATTAAGGTTGAACCTTCACAGCCTAAATTTGTGCTTATTACCTACAATTTATGTACACAACTTGGGAAATGCAGGTTCTCCGTCGACTCGAGGGTTTTTATTGTGAGTTTCACTTTATATTCATGCTGAATTAGCCCTTTTTGCCTGACTGCACCTGCAGAATTCAAAACAGTTTTTTACCCTAAGATGAGTTGTCAAGGACCAAAATTATCATTATGACAAAGGAATAACAAAATTTGCAGTCATTTGGAATAAGTGTATTTTAATGTCCCTCTTGTTGAGTTCAAGAATTTCCCGGAGCCTTAATGGCTTTTCTTAAGCCCCGGTCCAAATATCCTATGTCCTGTTTTCGGAGTTGTGGAGTCTTTCAGGTGCTGCAATTAAAGAATATTTGTTTTAAACGTTATACACTTCCTCTAATGAGCCAGATATTATGTTCTATTAGAGACTGCGTTCGTCTGGTCGACAGCGCTCATGCATGAAAGTGTTGTTTGCATATCGGTCAGTGTAAAACGAACACTGCGGACTGCGGACTGCGGACTACAGACTACGGACCAGGGGTAAAATGTAGACGGCAGACTGAGAGTGAAAAGCAGGCTGGACAAGCCAGAACGTGTTCCCTTCTTTCTCACCTACAACCCAGCCTTTCGTTCCATCTCGCCCATTATTCGAAAACACTTTCACATCTAAATTTCACCCTCCCTCCCCCCTCCCCCTCCCTGTTGCTACAAACGTCTTTAAAGCTGCACCCATTGTAGCTTATAGACGTAGTAGTAACCTCAGAAAATTTTTCCGAGAAATGTTAGTCATCACGTGACCGTACGAAGTTATAGAGAGAAGAGGTCGTTACGTCATCGTTAAACGATTGCTAAGAAATGTACAACAAAATTAAGCGTGATGCAAGCGTTTTGTTAACTAAACGTATCAGTCTTTTTTGTCGTTCTCGTTTATTACTGTCGCCGTAGTTGTTGCTTAATCTCGGCCCCATTGTAGTCACACAGAAATTTGGCTACCATGGTAACTTGACGTCACACTTCTCGTCTCTATTTTGGGGGAAAATTGCATAGCCACCCGCGTCTTGTGAAGCAGAAACAACTAAAGAGTCAATAAAGACGAAAACGGAAAGCGATAATTGTTTCTGTATTTGTATTGCCTAAGGAACCATTTCTTATTTATGCCAGGGGGTGGGCTGGTAAGATCCATCAGAAAGCATAACAAAACGTTTTGAAGGAAAACTAAAAATCCATGACCCCTCTAAATGTGCTTTTAAAAACTGGCTAGCCCCCCCCCCCCCCCCCCCCAAAAAAAAAATGTATGTAAGAACAAAAATACAAAACGCAAACTAAGATTATTGAGTGTTTGAAATAGTTTGCACCACTACAGGTTGTCCCAAAAGTTTGTTCCTCTAATTTAATGCACTATAACTTTTGATCAAAACTTTATTTTTACATGAAATTTCTAGAAGATGTTTATTTCTCTACCGAGTACATGCATTCAGAATTTCAGTAACTGGCATGCGCTATTCTGCAGGCGTTGCAGCATGAACTGGGATACAGTGTGTAGACCTTCATTTCTCCATGATAATTTTACCACCCAACATTCGGATTTTTCCAGTTTTTTAGCAGTTTCTACAACAGATAAGCCAGAAATCGAAGAATACATGCTTATGATCTCAAATAGCTGACCTTTTTTGCGTTAAGGGGGTTTAACTTTCGTGATATTCACAAAATACAAGGAAGGAGTTCGAGCAATTCGGGTTATAAAATACAAAAAAATATGTGGCTAGAAAATATACTCGCGCACGGGCACCTTTGGTGGGGAAGTACACAAATCGAATATTCGAGTCGAAAGATGGCACCATCAATATGAAAATAGTGAATTAGATTGAAAGACACAATTTTTGTTCCAATGATTTGCTTAGCAAGTGCAATCGTACTGAAATACAGACTTATAAAGTAGAGGAACGAACTTTTGGGACACCCTTTATATCTCTCTCTCCTGTGCTGGAACTATAATAAATAGACAGGGAATATTTCACAAACGGTCTTTTGGATTCAGAAGACGAAGTTTTATCCTTGAGTCTTTAAGAATATGCAGAAATGGAGGAGGAGCGAACACGAAAAGATGCCTGAAAAGTGGCCAATAAAGTAGCCGCAAGGATCGATGACACGCCTTCCTCCCTATCCTCTACCCTTATCGACGCCTGCTACACAGGTAGGCTTTTGTAGATTATGCTTTTGTTTCCCCACTTTAAGGCTCCACCTTATGCTCCATTTTTCCCACTAAAATGCTTGGTCTCCCCCAAAAAGGTCACTTAAATGCTCGGATAATGCTTATTATACAAACGGTTTTTCAAATTAATTTCAAAGGTTACACTTACAAGTTCCTCTGACGATGGCGGTTTTGGGGCGCATGTGAAAATTCGCGGCGTCTTTTTAGGTCGTTAGAGGCAAGCAATTTATGGCCGTTTCATGGGTTTTTATGCAAACGGTTTTCTCTTTATATAGAGAGAAAACCGTTTACACAAAAACCCATGAAACGGCCATAAATCGGCCCGTGGACCACACAGGAGAGACGTAACACACATTTTAAGTAAGGTAAGCTCTTTTTCATTGAAATCCTTTCATTTTCGTAGGTTACGGAAACGATAGGTTTTTTTCCCATTCCAATCCTTATATTTTGAATGTTACGCAACAATGCCGATGCTGAAAGGACTGAAAGCCGCTAACTTCAGTGTATCGCCGATG